ATCCCCAGGGGGGCCTGGCTGGTGTGGCTCAGTAATTGAGCACCAACCCAGGAACCAGGAGGCCACAGTTAGATGCCCAGCTTGTGGGCTCAATCCCCTGCAGGGGGTGTGCAGGAGGCAGCTGATCAATGATTCTCTCTCAACATTGATGTTCCTCTCTCCCCCTCTCCCTTCTCTTCTGAAATTAAAAAAAAAAAAGTATAGTTTTTTTAAAAAAGATCCCCAAGGGGTCATTATTCAGATTATCATAGCCACCAAGGATCTGGGACAGAACACTGGCAAACGTTGATTTGCATGTTGGAAAATGGATACCAAGGGGACTTCACTCAGCCCTCCCCTGCTGAAATTGTGTCCTGTGGGTATGTGTAGCTAGAGAGACTCATGACCCAAAAAGCTTAGGAGTGCTGCCTTTAAAGGGTGATTTTTGGAGGACAGGAAAGAGAAGGGTTTTCGCTAGATTTACAGAAGTGTGGCTTACACAGAGGACACAGACTTTAAGTACACCTGTGTAGGCACCACCCAGGTCAAGAAAGTGAACATTCCCAGCCCTTCCTAACACAAGGCTCCTCTGTGTCTCCAGCCCCCAAAGGGAGCCACTATTCTGACCTATTGTCACATTCTGTCAGCAGCTCTCCTAGGCTGGGTATGTCGGACGTGGGGAGGAGTCTGCGCACTCTCCTGCTTCTGGAAATTCTATCCCCAACTGCCATCCCAGCTCAAAGGGGGACTTTTATAAGAGCAAACGAGGCCCGATGGAGGGGGCAACCTGGCAGGGGGAGGCAGCATCGGCACTGGCCTGGTGTTCTGCCTCTGCCCTGCTGTGTAGGTGGTTAGCGCTCAGTGGGGCTGCTGGTGGCGGAGGTTTGAGTCAGGCGTCAAGGCTCAGGTATCCGAGGGTGGGGAACTCCAGGGCACCTTTGTGATGTCAGCGCCCTGCCTACAACCCCCACAGCCCCCCACTTCTCCCCCCAGAGGCCTTCTCGCCCAGTCTGGAGAGGCAGCCAAAGCAGGCATGGGTTCCCACTGTGCCAAGCTAGGCACAGGTCACAGCCGGGGCCACGAATCCTCCATGAAGAAGCTCGTGGCCTGCGTGAGCCAAGATAACTTCTCCTTGTCCTCAGAGGGTGAGGAGGAGGAGGAGGAGGGAGAAGAAGAGGAGGAGGAAGAGGAGCTCCCAGTACAGGGCAAACTGCTGCTGATGGAGCCTGAGAGGCAGGAGGAAGGCTCTGAAGATGACTCTGTGGCCCAGCAGAGCCCCGAGCCCAAGCAGACGCACTCCTGACCCCCGATGACGACCCAGGAAGAGGTGCCTGCTGCTGTTCCAGCGAGAAGAACTTTCAGAAAAGAGCCAATAAAGTCTCCAAAGGAATTCTCCTCCTCCCTGGTCTCCTCAATCCTGTGCCTGTGGTACTGTGCGTGTGCCCCTGTGTATGTGTGCGTGTGTAGTGTGTGCATGCCCATGTGTGTATGTGAGTGTGTTTAGGGAGGTTGAAGAGCAGGAGTCGGTGACACCCTGCTCCTGACATCCAACCAGAAGTTCTCACCAGGTCCACTCCCTGTGACTTCTCCTCCACCCTCCCCTGCTTTAGGGGGCAAAAATGTGGTCGCCTGGGCAGGAAAGTCATCTCAGCCAGTCCCCTCTCTGGGGGTGTACATGTAATGGGCCAGAGGGGGAGCAGGAGAGCACACAGGCTGAGTGTGCCTGAGGGGACAGTGTAAGCTCCCTCAGCAAAGCCCCCACCCTGCTGTCCTAGCCACGGCGGTCTTGTTATGGAGTGCTGGCTTGGGAGTTCAGCACACCAGGAATCAACTTCTTTCTGTGAGCTGTGACCTTGAGCAAGTCACGGTCTGTCTGTGAGCCTTGGCCTGCCCCTCCCTGGGTAAGGGTGAGATGAGTAGTGCCCCCTAGTCAGTGGGTTGGGAGAATTAACTGAAGCCTTGGGTGGGCCCAGGACAGTATTGTTGCTGGCTCCACTGCCTCACTGGCCCTGGTTTTGGGGTCAGAGTATGTGGTGGGTCCTAGTCCTCAGCCGGTGATTCTTCCGTTGCCACCCTCATATTCAAGGTGACACCCGTACTCAGAGGCTCACGTCTGCCTTTATCAAGGGGTTTGGCTATGTCCTCATGAGAGCCACAGGCAAAGGAAGCCCAGAAAAGCTGCCAGACACAGATATAAAACCCAGGCCCTGTGTCCACTTACTCTGGCCACCCTGTCGTCCATCCTGCACGTGAAGAAATGACATGTGATCTCCACCCTCTGCCCTCAGTTGGCCCCCAAGCACCAGTCACTTGGCTGAGTAGAATCCTGATCAGGGCTGTTGGGGGAGGGAGTGGCAGTATTTCCTGGGAACCCTCAGCTACTTTTGGGGGAGGGGGAGAGTGTTAGGGGTAAGGAGGCCTTGGGTTACTCAGAGGGGAAGCCACCGTTAAGACTTGCAGATGGCAGAGGGCAAGTGATGTCCAAAGCAGGAGGCCCCACTGTCTACAAGTCTTAACGGATTCCTACCCATACCCCTGACCCAGTGACTCAGTCATCCAGTTTCTTCCTTTTATCTAAGCCCCAGAGATCCACCTGCCCATTTAGGCAAATATTTGTCAAGCCCCTTCTGTGGTCACTATGGGCTCTAGAATGAACAAAACACAGTCGCCGTCCTTCTACACACTCGGGCATGTGGAAGTGGGGAGTCAGCAGTGGAGGTGTGGGGGGTGGGGGGAGGACCCAGAAGGAATCAGCACAGCATGGCCGACCAGCCCACTGAGCCCACACCAGGCACGGCCATTAGAACAGGGCCGCATGTGCCTCTGGAATCCCCTCAGGCCCCTCAGTGACCATAAGGCTGGATGGGGGGGGTGGGGCGGGGAGCGGGGCAGACCTGGGTTTGGATCCTGGCTCTGCCACTATCTGTGACTCTGAGTCTGCTCCCTCTTTGTAAAATGTAACAGTCATGCCGGCCTCTGGGGTTCATTCGTTTCTTAGGATTGCTGGAACAAATGATCACAAACTTCATGGCTTAAAACAACAGAAATCTATCCTCTCTCATTCTGGAAGCCAAAGTCTGAAATCAAGAAGTCAGCTGAGCCATCCCCCTCTCCCCCAGAGGTCCCAGGGGGGAATCCTTCCTCGCCTTGTACAGCTCATGGCAGCTCAAGGCGTTCCTTGGCTTGTGGCTGCATAACTCTAATCTTTACCTCTGACTCTATGTGGTCTATTCTCCCCGTGGGTCTTCTCTTCTGTTTTATAAGAACACTTGTGCTCTGGCCAGTTTGACTCAATGGTTAGAACGTTGGGCTGCAGACTGAAGTGTCTTGGGCTCCATCTGACCTGGGCTAGGGCATGTGCAAGAGGCAACCAACCATGTTTCTTTCTCTCTCTCTCTCTCTCTCTCTCTTCCCCCCCCCTCCCTTCCCTTCCACTCTCTCTAAAAATCAATGGCGGGGGGAGGGGAAGAGGAAATATCCTCAGGTGAGGATTAACAAAAAAAGAACATCTGTGATTGGATTAGGGCCCACTTAATAACCAAGATACACTCTTCTTATATCTACAAAAATGCTTTTTCAAAATAGTCATATTGACCGGTTCTGGGGTTAGGACCTGGACATATCTTTTGGGGGCTACCATTCAACCCACTACAAAGGCTCCCTGTGAGACTCAAGGACAAAGCTGCCTAGAAGGGGGGAGGGGTTGCCCCAAGCACAGCTACATAGAAAGTGCCCATTAATGAGGGCAGTTGTCACTTGAATGATGTGACAAACTTATTAAGAAATAAACTGTAATAAAAGCAGATGATAGTAAAGTCTCATAACAAGAGTCAAAGTGTGCATGAGGACAGAGAAGGAGAAGTAGATGTGGGCTGGGGGGCCTGCCAGGGGAGGGGAGATGGAGACTGAAGGAGTTTCATGGGGAAGAAGGGGCAAGTGCAGGCTGAGAGTGGCCAAGAGCTAAGCCCAAGGGTGTTGGCCAAGGCGTGGGAAGGGTTGGGCTGCTATGTGCTCACAGGGTCTCGTGTGCAAACCGATTGAGCTTTCTTCCATAGGTGCCTGGAGATCCGAGTGGGGCGGGCCTGATTCCTACTGTAGGTGAGGCTTCCTGAGGGGGTGGGAGAGGGGGGTCAGGAGGCAGGAATCTGAAGGAGGAAGAGGGTTCCAAAGTGCCTCCTGTGGCTTGACAGGCACTTCAGGTTCACAAGAATACCAGGAAGGAAGGAATGACATCCCTCTGTCAGATAAGGAAGTCTCACAAACCGAAGTGACCTACCCTAGATAGCTATCAGCACACACTGGGATTGAACCTTGCACTAAATCTCCAGAATTTAAATCTTGCCTGGGAGGTGGGCTTGCCAGGCAGCCCCCAGGACCACTCCCATTACTCTTATCATTCATCCATCCCATAAGCCATCCAATCCATTCACCATCCACCTACCCACCCATCTATCCTTGCTCTAGGTATCTATCTTATCAACCACTGAGGTCAGGACTGTGCCCTGGCCTCTAAGCGGCTAGGAGGAGTAAGAAAAGAGCTGGAATGTTAGCAATGTTTATTGAACTCTGTGGGCTGTCCCTGAGCCAATTGCTGGACACAGATTCTCTCATTTAATTTGTCTGGCATCCCTAAGAGATGGGCATTCTTATTGTCCCCATTCTACAAAGACAGGGAACTGGGACTTGGAGGGATGAAAGCCCAGGTGAGTGACCCATAAGGAAAGGAAAATGTAGATCTGGGATGGGGATCCAGCTCAATCTGACCCAAGGGTCCCTACTCTTAACCAACAGATGGGATTACTCCAGAGGGCCCTTGAAACTGGCCCCGCCCTAGGGGTTAGTGTAAGGGTTAGGGGGCTTTGTCCCAACCAGGCCACATCTGTTACACCCCCATGGTCTGTGCCATCACAATTGGGCCCAACTATATAACCGGAGGGTGCTAGGGACTCTGCAAAGCTGCGTGTGCTGGAAGAAGAGGAGGAGGAGGAGGCAGCCTCTGCCCCCCCCACAAGTGGCCTCCTATGGACACCAAGACACAGAACCCTCCCATCACCCACACCCAGCCCCATAGCAACTCTCGGCCCCAAAGCCACACCTGCAACCAGTGCAATTGCAGCCACCACTGCCAGAACTGCAGCCATGGCTGCAGCCGGAGCCAGAGTTGCAGCCGAGGCCGGGTCTCCAGCAAAAGCCCAACCGGCCACCGCAGCCCACCCGGGCACCAAAACCAGAGTCCAAGCCCCAGCCCGCCACCAAGGCATCCCAAACACACCATGCACTCCCGCCACTGCCCCATGAGGCCCCCCACCCACTCCTGCAGCAACACCAAGAACAGAAAGAACTTGGGAGGACAAGTGAAAAAGAGGAAGGTGGTCAACAGGAGACAGCAGGCGCACAAAACAAAGAGGCGAAGCTCAGGTACTGTGCACGCAGGTGGGGAAGGGTGAGAGGGGCTGCCCAGCTGGACGTTGGGGGGCAGTGAGGTGAAGGCTGCAACCTCCAAGCCAAGAGGGAGAAGAAACTATGGCAGTTGTGTATATGGTACATTTCTGGACTAGTTCTTCCAATAAGTTGGATGGGTTGATTAGAAAAACAGATAGGTGGCAGGTTAACTAAATGGTAGGATGGATGGGGGATGGGAGCTGGGTGGATAAGTTCATTAGAAGTGTGGTTAGGTAGAGAGATGAGTGATAGGAGGGTTAACTGGTTAAGTGGATTGGTGGATGGATAGAAGAATGGAGTTGAATGAGTGGAAAGTTTGGATATGGTTGGAAGGATATGGATGGTGAACTGATTAATTGACTAGGTGTGTGAATGATTAGATCACTGTGGATAAATAAATGGGCAGGTGAACTGATGGATGGTTAACTGGATGGATGAATTTAATGAACAAATGGATGAAGTTTCAATAGATGGGTAGCCTGGATATAGTTGAAAGAATTAAATGAATGTTGGATGAAAAGACTGGGTGATTCATGGATGAGTCATGAGTCACCCAGTCTTTTTATTTTTCACGCCGTCTTTTTAAGTGGATGGAATGGATGGATTCACATGGGTCAAAAGGAACTTGACCACAGTCTATGCTCTATCCATGCCCATATTTGATTACAAATGAGAAGTCCAAGACTCGAAGGAGAGGGTTAGTGACTTCACGAAGCACAACTATTAAAGGGTCCCTTTCCTGTTTGTTCCTATCACTTAGGGCGGAAATAAACTGAGATCGCACTCCATGGCTTGTTCCTGTGTCGGTTTCACCCAAATGAGAAACACCATCGTGCGTGGAATGCTAGAGGGAAGTCGAACTTTTTGCAGGAACGTGTTACTACAAGTGATTTCTACGCAACAATGATTAAAGCTTGTACACGGGATGACTTTCCTTGTGTTGGCATTTTTATTTCACTAAAGGTGTCATGTGTTTTGGGGCCGGGTTTGGTAGCACAAAGCAGAAAAGAGGTTGCCGAGGGAGCAGGGACATGCCTTGTAATGAGACCTCATGAAAGTGGAAGGAGCCATGCCAGCACAGGGGCAGAAATGAATGGGGGGTGGAGACACCAAGAAGCCTTTGAAGTAGACAACACCCTGTTTGTGCAGAGCCTTCTTTAGCCCTACATGCTCCCACATTCATGCACACAAGTGTGTGCACACACATGGGATGCCCTTGGGCCCACACACTGTTCATGTGATCCGCATGCAGTAGGCAGCCCGGGAGCATAGGGGACAGGTGGGAAGAGGGGTTAGAAATGTGCATTTTATCCAGTTTGAATCCTGGTTTACCCTAGCTCATATTTCCCTGCTGTGTGCCTCACTTGTTTCAACCAACTTTTAATAAGGGACCAAGTGTGTTCAGGGCCTGGGTGAGGACACACTAGCCCTTTCTCTGTCCAGAGAAAGAACATACATTGCCAGCCACAATAAGCTGTATCAAGGGAGCAAGGCAACATCAAGCAGAGCAGCTCTGGTGGGGCTCCAGGCCAAGGAAGGAGCACGTGTAAAAAGCCTGGGGTCTTCCAAGGCCTGGGGTAGCTGGTACCGGGGTACAGGTGGCGGGAAAGGAGATGGGAGGCCAGGAGGGACCAGGCTTTGCAGGGGTTTGCAGGCTGGAAAACTTGGACAAGGCCTGATAGGTACAGTATTTAACGATGGTGGTGGCTGCTGTGTGGAGGCTGGATTATAGAGGACAGAAGGGACAAGAGGAAGAGCCGTTGGTAGGGTGGGGCCAGGAGAGAGGAACTGTAGGGCGGCACTGGAACGCTCCAATACAGATGGGATGAGGGAGTGAGTTCCTCGTCCAGCAAACATTTCTTGTTGTGAATCCTCACCTGAGTATATTTTTTCCCGTTGATTTTTTTAGAGTGTAAGGGAGAGAGGGAGGGGGAAAGATGAGAGAGAGAAAGAGAGAGAGAGAGAATGAATGTAAGAAAGACACATTGATTGCTTGCCTCTCAAACTCGCTCGGACAGGGGCTGGGAATCGAACTGCAACCCAGGTATGTGCCTTTGGCTGGGAATCAAACAGGAAACTGTTTGGTGATTGGGCCAATGGTCTAACCACTGAACCACTGGTCAAGTCCAGCAAACATTTACTGGGCACCTACTTATATAGGCATTGGGCTAAGTGCTAGGGGGGAAAACAAAGGTGGAGAGAGCCCTACAGGCACATAGCTTCCAAATGAATTAGGAGATAAGATGCTGTGTCATTAGATGATTAGATCAATTGCCAAGAGAAAGCTTCTCGTCTATAAATTGGGTCTCTTGCTGGGTGGCTGGAGGGTTCAATGAGATCATGTGTGTGAGTGGTCTCTAGGCTCAGCACACAGTAGTTACTCAATGGCGCTTTGCTATTATTAATAGGGCATATAAAAGTGCCAGACAACATTTTTAAAAGAAATGCTAGCCCTGACCAGTTTGGCTCAGTGGCTAGAGCGTCAGCCTGTGGACTGAAGAGTCCCAGGTTCGATTCTGGTCAAGGGCATGTACCTTGGTTGTGGGCACATGCCCAGTAGGGGGTGTGCAGGAGGCAGCTGATGGATGTTTCTCTCTCATGGATGTTTCTAACTCTATCCTTCTCCCTTCCTCTCTGTAAAAATTCAATAAAATATATATTTTTTAAAAAGAAATGCTAGTTACCAGATAAAAGGACTAAGGAATGGTCAGAGTCCCATGTAAATTATCTTCAAAACTCACAAGCCTTGATTTTAGGGTCAGGCCCCAGTGTACACTGGCTCCCACAGTTCTACCTGGGGGACCTCGGACTGGTCACATTGGCTCTGAGATTTGCTTGTCTCATCTGTCTAGCAGGTAATGGCTCCAACCTCAGGCCATCAGCAACCCAAGGCGTGTAAAAGCACCTAGGCCAGCGCCGGCACACGGTTGCTTATTCCCTTCTGTGTTTCATCTGGGCAGAAGGAACGAGGTGCAACATGTGGAGGTGGAAGATGGGACAGGTGTGGAAATGAGGGGGGTGTCTGCAGTAGAGGGAGAGGGACTGAAAAGGGGGCCTTATTGTGGTGGTGATTTCATAACATATATAATATTTCATTATAAGTAATAATATGTCAATTATAGCTCAATAAAAAAAGAAAGTGAGTTTTGCAGGGCAGGCAGTGACATACAGTGGAAGGTCCTCTTTCAGAGCTCAGCTGTGTGACCTTAGCAAGGCATTTCCTCTCTCTGTGCCCCAGTCTCCTCCTCTATAAAATGGGACACTAGTGTCGCCCTTATTGGGGTCACTGGGGTTCGCAGAGGGTCTGGGATACAGTCCGCACTCAGTGCGTCCCTTGACCCCTCACAGCAGGGAAATGTTCCAGGTTGATACCATGTTTCCTCTGCAAGTGTGGGGTAGGGCCAAAACAGGCTGGAGAAGTGACCATTTACTGAGCACCTACTAAGTACCAGATGCTGTTTTTTAAAAATACATTTTTTAAATTGATTTCAGAAAGGAGAGAGAGAGAGAGAGAGACAGAGAGAGAGAAATATCAATGAGAGAGAATCATTGATCAGCTGCCTCCTTGCATGCCCCACACTAGGGACTGAGTTGCAACCCAGGTATGTGCCCTGACTGGGAATTGAAAGTGACCTCCTGGTTCATAGGAGGACGCTTAACCACTGAGCCATGCCAGATGCTTTGACATAAAATATTTCCACCTAATCCACACGCCCTCAGCAGGAGGCATTACTGTTCCATTTTGCAGATGAATGAGGTGAGATTCAGGTGAAATGATTTGATCAAGGTCTCCAAGAAGGCATGTCTAAGATCAGAGATTCATCCTTTGCCCCAAACCTCCTGGTTCCTATTTAAAAATGTAAAGCCACATAATCCCATGATTGTCTTTCACATCACAGTGAAAGGAATTTGGGAAGTCCTTCTGGAGAGCATGTTTAAGGGAGGAGATAGAGATAGAGGTCAGAGGATAAGGTCAGGGAATTTGAGCTCCACTCACCAAAGGACCTCCCTATTCCCTGAACAGTGTCCTTTTATAATAAGATCACTGAAGGCAGAAGAGCTTCTATTATAGAGAAATGATCTTTATAATAAGAGGAAGTGGACTGGGACGCAGACAGACTGGGTCACATGTGTGGTTTACAAACCCATCTTTAACCCCACATTTCCCTAAAATCAACAAGCAGAATAAATGGTGGCACAAACACAGATATCCAGTTACTTATACCAAGAAATTGCCGTTCAAACCCACTTGGACACAGTGGCCTAGGTTCACATGAGGGTTCCCAAGTACAGGCCCCCCATGCCCATATCGACAGGCTGGCTCTCACATCCCTCCCCACTCACTGAAACACTCAAGCAAGCACTTGCAGACACACACACACCCTCTTACAGTCAGACACATGATGACAAGAGGAAAAACGTCAAACCACAGATTCATTCTTTCACTTACTTGGTTTGGGGTGGGGTGACAATAGTTTGGGGGCAGGCCTGCTAGAAACCCAAATTCAGGAAACAGACACCCAACTCAGCCACTGAGGCTATACAGATTCTGAAAGTGACCTAGCTGCCTTTCAAATGGTTAATTTCGGGGGATACTAGCGTGAGGTGAAGTCTGGGAAACAGACACAGCCCTGCCTGTGGTAGGATTGTCCGCTCAGCTGCCTGGGCACTGTCACGCCTGCAGGCCCTAGATGTCACTGGGGGTCCCAGCAGTCCTGGGGGAGGGGGAGGAGGGGCAGTCAGGGAAGAGGCTGCAGAGCCTGGGTTGAGGTGCCCATTTGAGGTACAATTCAGGAGGAAAAATACCTTAAACTCTGTAGCCACCCAGACCTAGAGTCAACTCCCTGCTCCCTCATTCCCTCTCTGGCTGATCCCAGGCCTGTCTCCTAACCTCTCTGAGCTGGAATCTGCACCTCATGCTTTGTGAAGAGGTCCAAGGTGTCAGGCTATTCTTGATTGCTGCATCCCTAGTACTTAGCACAGTCCTGCACATATTAGGAGTTCA